GGTGGGTGGGTGTATACAGAAGAGAGAGATCAAGGGAGGGGAAAATGGGCAGTTTGGAAGGCAGAAACTGTACACTATCAAAAGTTGAAGCACTTTGGGAGGTCATGCTGCCTCCAGAAATTTTCATGACTTGGGGGAGTGAGTATATGAGTATTTCATAAGCAACCTTTTAAAGCATGGGTCAGCAAACTAAGGCCCACAGGCTGGATCAGGCCCAATTGTCTGCTCGATCTGACCCGGGAATTGCCGCGTGGATCACCAGCGTGTGCGTTCTTTCCCTCTCCCTCCCTCTTGCTCACACAGTGGCGCCTCCTCCCTCCCTCCTCCTGGCTTCTCCCTGCCCTGCCAAGAGGAGGAAGGGGGCTGGGCTTTGTTTGTGCCAGAGCTGATGCCATTTTAAGCAGCCCCTCTCTGGAGCCCTTTTGCACGCCGCTCATTGTCCTGCCGCCGCCACTTGCCAGGCCCTGCCACTCGCAAGACACAGGTAAGCAGCCACTGGGACTCATGATGCTCTTGCATCATCCCCCCCCCAAAAAAATATAGTCTGGCCCCCCAAAAGGTCTGAGGGACAGTGGACTGGTCACCTGCTGAAAACGTTTGCTGACCCCTGTTTTAAAGAGTACTGTGAGCCACTACAGAAGTAGAAACATCAAAAACAAGTAACAGCTGTGCAGCCCAAACCTGCCTAAATTGAAGCCATTTCTTTTGACTGCATGGGACTAGGGCTACTTGGTGTTGGTGGAGGGGAAAACATTATATGCAACAAAATATGTCTCTCCCGCATCCGTCTCTACAGCCACAGCAGGTACTGTAACCTTCCAACAGCTTGACTTCACTCCCAAATGCTTACTCCTCCATTGTCTCCTGAGACAAGACACCTGCCAACCAGCTGCCTTGTCTTCAGCAGTTAAACCTCATGTGTGCCTTCACCCGTCACAAAAAACTATCTTTATTTTCAGGGCTGAAATTAGTCTCTAGAGGAGGACCCAAGGCCAAGCAAACCATTCCTTATTATGGCTACAATAATAGGGAGTTTTCACAAGGACATAGAATAGATCGGAAATATGGATTATTAAGGACTTTGTATAAGCCAGGGTGGCAATAGGTTTGATTTCGAGGTCTTTGCAGTTTTCAGGCTAAAATCCTTCCATAGCAGGTACCAGATTCTGAGGAATATGCCAGTCACCATGAACATTTTTTTTAATGACCTGCTACACCTCTATGGGATCTTTCCATTTCCTGTTCAGATTTCCCCATTTCCAGAGTGTTAATGAAAGCCAGTAGGGCAAAGGGAACCATAATTTACTTTTTGTGACACCACAGCGACTTAACGAGGCTATACAGAGGTTGTGATCTGGCTAAACTTGTGAATTTACTCTCTTCCGTCTTACCCACCCCCTATCATAATCTAGCACCAATGCATCCCCATCCAAAGGAAACCTGAGCAGCAGAGGTGTAGCATTTAACCAGCCTACTTGTAACACCTTTTAAACTCTCTTCTCCTGAAAGAGGCCCATTTCTGACAAATCCTTTGCATAGCTCTTGGCTGCGAGGACGGTATGTGGGTAGAAAACCTTGCAATGAATGGGATGTATTGCTAGAGCTACATTAGATACTAGCTGATATTTACATACCACCTATTCTGCCAACACACCCAAGGGGGTCTACAATTTCAAACTACTAAAACAAATAATAGTATATGAAATATAAATGTGGTCCTGGAGATGCATGTATGTGTTTAGTGGACTGTCCAACTGGAGCAGGCCCTGATGTTGATGTTGGTTCTGAAGTCGCAAGAGTAAACCCAAAATGTTATATGGTGAAAATACACGATCCATCTACTTAAAAAGTGCAAGGTATTTCTTACAAAGTTTATTTGCATTTTTACTGGAGCACAGAGTCTAAATACAGATGTGTCTTTTCTTCTGTACAACAGTAGAATGGCCAGTGCAAAATATGCAGGTTTCGTTTTTGTTTTTTTAAAAAAAATCTATATATATAAAAACCAAGAGAGAATCTGGCAGTATACTCACAACTCTTTATGCTTGACCTCCCTTCCTCCCCCCTTCATTTAAATCACACCCATTTAAATGGTTGCTGCATTACAGGTGAAGAAAACTGAACTCCCATAACCCTTTGAAAGACAGAAATACCTATCCCCAATCAGACAAAAGAAATTTAATTTTTAAGAGAGTGATTTAAGAACTTTCCCCCCTCCAGAAGATAACAAAGTCGAGTGCAAAACACACAAATATACATTTGACAAGGGGGGTGGGGAGGTACTAATTTAAAGCTTTTCCTGAGACAAGCCTATTAAAAAGTATTAAAGTTAGTCAACTTCCTTGTGCATGCTGAAAACTCCAGTCCCAAAATGAGGTTCACACACCTTATCCCAGACTACAGCAACAGTGAAATGGAATATTGGCAAACAATGTTTTCCTATGTGCGTGTAGAGGTAATCGGCACGTTAATGTTAACTCCACCTAATAAATGTCATCTTCCTTCTAGTTCAGTGTTTCAGAGGTACAAATAAGCCAGGGAAAATGTTATTAACACAGACAGCTCAGCAACAGCTCAGCACTTGTTAACTTAAAAGATATCAAGCTTTGTCCAGTCTATTTCTATAGTTATCTACCCATCTGCTATAAAAAGCTGTGATTATTATTATTAATTATTATTATGTTAAAGAAGTCAGGATTTCCTTTACCAAAAGTACAGTGTTTATACTTCTGTGAAACACAACAAATTACAAATGTGCTAAATGTAATTTTGAACCATGATTTACATTATTCTATGATAGCTGTGCCCATTAGAGCCATTCAGGGAGTGTAAAAATATTTTTTTAGGTTTCCCTTCACTCTACGAGTCAGATAAAGGCAAGTTCTCCTTTATCGAAGGAGCCCCATGCACTGTTGCACATGAGGAATGAGCCATGTGCGCTCACCCATCAGATGCCTGTCAAATGTTAGAGGAGGCAGCCATATAAAGTCTTTCCAACCCATCTGGGCATTGGCCATCTGTTGGCCATTGAATGCACCATCCTACTTCAGTGACCAGCACTGCAGGCAGTGCCCTTAACCAAACAAGGGAGTTACATGTGCATTACTCTTCTGTATGCATGGTTCCTGATGCAGCAGGGAATCACTGCACAGAAGCCTGCTTCTGCACACCCACTGCACTCAATGGATCAGGGTGCAAGTGTCCAGCTCAATGATAGACCGACCGCATAACACTGTGCGTGTGTCCATCCAGCTTAACATTCTTTACAATATTAGTAGAGGAAAGTGTTACTTATACACAAAGATTTTCATAAGATCGCTCACAGCACAATCTGCACACTCCTGTCTACTCAGCAGCTTAGGCCCATTGAGTTCAATGAGACTTTACTTCCAGTTAAGTGGGTACAGGATTGCAGCCTCAGTTGCCAAATTAGACGATAGGGGAACAAAAACAAAAACACACATTTTAGAAAAGAGCATCACAAGAAGGCACTCATATCAGCAAAGTAATTAGACTTATTCTGCCACAGAAGTAGCTGTTTGCCTTTATGACAGTATGTCCTGTGACATTAATATCTGAAAATACATTAATACATTAGAATCACTTAGGGGGTAATTTGGGTAAGAGAAAGCATTTATACCCAATTTCTGGATTGGAGCACAACTGAGAAATCAACAGAGCAAACACTTCCCCAGTTAAGACTATGAGACATTTCTTTCTGAATATTTTGCTTCCTATACTTCTTTATGATTACTGTATTGGTACTTCCATTTAACTTCTTAAGTATTATGAAAATTTGCAAGATTCCTTAGTTTTACTGACAACTTCAGAGCCATGTTAAAACAGCCTCCAAAATTATGGGACTCTTGCTTTTAAATATTTAAAGTTAGGACCACGAGTGTCTTTATTTATACCTATCTATATACAAGCTTCTATAATCCGTACTCAAAAGGAAGAAGTGGTAGCAGGATGGGGTGTAAAGAGAAAAAGAAAAAAACCAGAATGGGGTGCAACTGTTTCTTAAAAACAAATAGAGAATATTCAAATCCATAGATGCAAGTGGAAATAGCACAGACCTTATAAACTTAAGAAGCTTAACATACAATTGTTGGTGAAGCAGGCATATGATATGCACATACAACTGCCAGGGAAGGGTAGACATGAGGAGAGGAATGCAAAGTTTCCATCTTTCCTCTTTCCCTTAGCGACAACATTGCCTTGAGAGCTTTTGAAGCAAGGAGCCTGAAACAAGAGTGTTCAGAAAAGGAGGAAGAAATGTTGCTCACAGCCATAAGCAAAGTCCAAGGCACGTGAGAGATCTTTGACCAAACCTATAACCTTCTGTCATACAAGTGAATGGAACCAGTTTACTTTTATAGCAGAAAGGAGACCAGTTTGTGAACACATTACTGGATGAGGGTCAGTGCTTGCTCCATGCCCTGGAGGATAAGTATTTGCTAACCTCTCCCCTCATATATAACTTCTCTCTCCACACACACACACACACACACACACACACACACACAGAGCTAGTGCGCTTTCTTCCAAAGTTAAATCTCTCACTGAGTTCCATGGGGCAACTGCAAACTGGATGTGCAGCAAAGCCTGCCCATTTCTCCAGTCAGCCCTTTTCATTTCTCCAGTAGATCTCAGTGGTAGCTGTTGAGTTTTACTGGGGGGAAATATCATAGCCACAAATAAGGGGCACAATTCAGCCGAGGGCAAAATTTGCCCTGGTTTGTCCTTCTTTCAATTTGAAGTCCTAAAACAAAGCCACCTAATTAAAATGAGCAAGTAAGAGTTATATAGAATAATTAAAGGGGGTTGGAAATAGCGCTTCTGCTTGGTCTGTTGTCAGATGCAACAAAAAAAAAAGCATGCAGGAAAGTAACTACCCTCCTTAGGAATTTAGATGATGATTGCAAATTTGCTTTAAGAAGAAAGAATCCATAGCTGTCTGGTTATCTATATTACCTAGGAAGAGAAGGAAAAGTAGTACAGTATATACATTTAGCTATATTTGTAACCAGGATGATCAGCCTTTATAATGCTAGTCCCTGGAGGTTTGAGAGAAGTGCTTTTCATATTAAGTTGTTTTTGTTTTAATAAGGCACATGGTTTTGAACAATGAACAAAAATGCATACAGGTAGTTCTAAAAAGGAAAGGCAATTCAAAACAATAATCAGATGAACTCCAAAGACCACGTCTAGTCCCCAACACTCTGAAATTTACACACTTTAATTTTTCTGCTAGGGCATTCAGTTAATAAGAACACTTTTATACAAATGAGTTTTCCATCTTTTCAGTCTGGGTTGCAGTGAGGCATCATAATGTTGTAAGTCCCAACATACATAGAAGAGGGTTATTTCAGAATGATATGGTAGCCATCATTACTTTCAGCTGCAGGAGAGAGAGAGAAAAGAGGGGAGAAACCTTTAATCAGTGCTTTAACTTCAAACTTTGAAATACACACACACATACACATACCTGACTGAAGATCCTACTAGTCTGCACTTTCTACAGATGCAAATTGTGTGACAAACCAAGAGGCTGTGGACATCCATTTCAAGAAATAATTTATGTACTGTAATCTTAGTACTACATTATGGGATGTGGATTGTTAGAAAATCCAAGTAGTTTTAGTCACATTACAAAAGAAAATAAGTTTGGTATAGTGTGGAAGGAAAGGTGACAGAACACTAGCTAAGAGAAATATATAAATATATGGGCAGAAGCAAAGGACACCCCAATGCATGGAAATGATAGTTTACATGAGGAGCTTCATATATGGAAAAGAATTAGCAAATGTTGAACAACTAAATAGATAGAGCCACTATGCTAACTTCCTGGCAGGTAGGTAGGTGTACCTTACCAGGAGGGGGAGTGAGAGAGACAAGGCAGCAGGGGGGTTGGTGTGGTATAAATGCACTGGCAGAACAGTGCATACTTCGCTTCTTTGCTTTTGGGAACTTTCACGTCTCAAGTGTGAGGCCCCTGAAGGAAAGGGTGACACCACCCCTTTTTCTGTTTTCATAGTATCTGACTATCCTGTTTGGCTGTTTGTGCATTTGTCATTTTACGTCTGAGAATTTTTGGATCCCCTTAAGTGACTTCCAACACCCTTATTTTGGTGAAGGCAAATCCTACTATTGTGGCAGGAAATATGTGTATATACCGTATTTTTCGCTCTATTGGACGCAGTTTTTCCCCTCCAAAAATTGAGGGGAAATGTGTGTGCGTCCTATGGAGTGAATGCAGGCTTGTTCCATAGCCACGCGCAACCCCTCCGGCAGGGAGAGGCTGCACGGGGCTATGGTTTCTTTAGCCCCGCGCAGCTTCTCCCGGGAGGGAGAGGTTGCGTGGGGCTAAAGAGGAAGCCAAAGCAGCCAGCGCGATCCATCCCGCTGGCTGCCTTGGCTTGTTCCATAGCTGTGCGCAACCCCTCCGGCAGGGAGAGGCTGCACAGGGCTATGTCTTCTTTAGCTGCATGCAGCCTCTCCCGGTAGGGAGAGATTGCGTGGGGCTAAAGAGGAAGCCAAAGCAGCGAGCGGGATCCTCTCCGGCAGGGAGAGGTTGTGCGCAGCCTGTACGCTGCTCTTTGGGGCACGGGGGGGGGGGATTTTTTTTATTGATTTCCCCGTCTAAGAACTAGGTGCGCCCTATGGTGCAAAAAATATGGTACCTTTTAACGTCGTGATGACAAAACAAGATTCATCTTGAAAGTTTTGTACCATCTGGATAAAAAAGACAAATGGAAGAAATCTGGAATTTATTGACACACACACATATTTTCTTCAGAAAGGAAATATACATTTCCTAATCAACAGGGTGCTATTAGTCTGAAAACAAAGGAACTGTCAGTGTACAGAGGCCAGTAGGGCTATTCAAAAAGGATGTGCAACCATGAGGTGCTTCCTAGAGGAATTTTTGCAGCAGCACACATGCAAAAATGGAGATAATCAAATGGTAGAGATGTGATGAGCTATAAAGCACACCACCCCAAAAAATGGAGGTCAAGATTCACCTAACCAACTCCATTAGTCATGCCCATTGATTTCAATGGGTCTTCTGTATGTGTGACTTAAGCTGTGCTAGGTGTTATCATAGGTGATAGTCATTGACTTCCGTCTTCATAGGCTCTGCTTTCCTCTACACAACAGTGCTCTTACTCTCCAGTCACCTTCACACAGAAAAATATCCACCAAAATTAAGTCCAGTGCTGCACCCATACACCATATCTAATGATGCATGAAGAACATCCAATTGGTGACTGCTGTTTGCATCACTCTTGCTGCCCTGCCACCAGAACACAAAAATAAGGCAATTGTTGTTGTTAATCAGTAACTCAAGCATGTAATGAAGGGTCTCCTTGCACCCTAGCTGGTTGAGGCAATTCTTCTTCCCAGAGGCTGCCTTAAAACACTTCATGACTATTCAAACACTGAAGGTTTCAGATTCATCAGAGTGAAACGGTAGGGAGACTTTCAGAATAAAAATTGCAGGCTTCATCCACAGTTGCACTGGAAGCCTTGCTCTCTGCTTTAACTGTGTTCTCCAGGGGTCATATGCAACGAAGCTTCTTAAGTGATTCTACAGCATGCAGCCCACAGCTTAATTAGAAAAGGCTGGGAATATTTGCCATGGAAAATATGCAGCATAGAACAGAATGAGAAATTCGTGGGAATGGTTGGAAGCAAGTAAGTGGGATTCTTGCTCCCATTTGCATGACATCTTGTTGCTTGCAAGAAACTTGGATGAGGGCTCAAAAGGTTTTATTGTTTTTGCATAGTATTTTCCATGCTGTACATATATTTCAGCTTTAACATTTTGTTATCCAAGATTCCATGTGCCCTTCTCCCCCACCCCACTAAGTCAAAGTTAAGCAATGCTGCAGATTTTTTGAATGAGATTATAGCAAGCTTAATAAGCCAGCTTCATAGCAGAGATTCTTTAAAAATGAAACTAAATTTGGAAGAAGTCCTTCACCTGGCCATGCATAAGGGGGTTAGCACACAAACCAGATACTTTGCTCAAGCTTGTTGAAGCTCACCCACTTTTGAACGCAACCATTAAACTAACTCACTGACAAAGCAATGTCAATGTGAAAGGGGAAATATTGGGTTCTCTGTAATTCTTTCTACTTTCTAGGGGTGAAAGTGATTGCATGTTTCAGTACCATCATTTTATCGGGAATGTGGTTGTACTGCATGCTTAAAATGTAATTTTTTATGTTCCCCAGATACTTCTATATTTCGAATTGCCTTTCAGTATCTGTGGTTTTTAGGCAAGGGAACAAACCTGAAGATGGAGATTAGCAGAAGCAAAATGTTATAGAATCTGTAAAGGCAGAAGGAACTGTTCGTGGTGCTGAAATCTTACCTATTGGCAACTTGAAATTGTGCCTATTCACTTGAGACAAGCACAACCTCTAAGAGTCAATTTCAAACATTGAGGCCAAGGCTGTGCACTATATGAGCTGAAATGAAGTGGAAGAGAGTCCAGGGAAAAGCAATGAATATGCCTTTCCCATCATTTCATTACCAGCTTTGTCAACAATGCTTGATAAGATGACTACTTCCCTTCATATCCATCCTTACCATAAAGTATTGTATAAACAGAAGAGCAAAATGAGCTTTATAATCAGGTTCTTCATATTGTGATCTTCACTGCTAACGCTGTATATGACATGTTCTAGCATTTTAGAACTCAGAGCCTCCAGAGCAAAACACACAATCCACAGCATTATGAAGGTCAGTCACACTAAGTTCAGAGAACAGGTCTTAAACACATCAATAGCTAGAACCAGATGGGATGCATTCCAGTTAAAACTCTTACCTCATTGCTCACCAATACATGGATCCCTGTAGGTCCTTGCCGATAGATTCGGTTTATCTGCTGTGGGGAAATACTGTACAAGTTTGCAATCTTCTCCATCAATTCCACTGTTGTCAGCTCTTCTAAGAAGATAGCATGGTATACTGCAACAGTATTGGAGAAAGAGAAATATTTAGACGTGCACCAATGGATTTGCATATATTTAAGGAAAAATATTTAACTTTTGCAAAACAGCCCTCATTTGCTTTTGTCTTAGCACACACTAGAATATTAAGACTTAAGAGAAGAAAAGCATTTAGAAGCAACCTTTTAAGTTCACAATGATGACAGAAAGAAGTCGCCACCGAGTCATTACTTTTGCACATCTATGCATTTTTAATTTTGCAGTTCAGATATGAAAAATTCAAAACATGCATGTGATTAAAGATGTGCACTTTTTCTATTTTTCTTTTTAGCAAACATGTGCTCAGCTAGATTAGCCCCAGGAATGTAACCAAAAGCCTAAGTGTTGCTTTTAGAAATGATAATCATTAAAACATTCAGAACATGCGTAGCAGTCTTCTATCCTTGCCAGACAGGTTTAGTGTTTTGGGGAGGGGGCTGGTTTAAACTAACATCCTGACCCAACAAATCATTCATTTTCAACTGGTGGGTCAGGCTCCACAAACAGAACATATTCTAACCTCAAGGTGAGTGCCATTAATAGTAGTGACACCACCACCGTCCAGTGTTGTGGGGTGGAAAAATTACCACTTCATAAGTTCATGAATGCCAGTTGTGATATAATAATATTAGGCAAACTTGGCAGTTTCAAAGTTTTAATTAAGGTTTTTAAGGCGATTATCCTTAGCAAGAATGTCATTCTGCTTTTTCTTAAATTCAGACACTGTTGATTGTCTTGTAAATTTTTACAAGTACTCCAATAAAAAAAATCTATGTACTGTAACATTTAAAGCATATTAAAAGTGCGCTTTAAAATCCTCCCCTCTAAATACTTGAAGTAAAATATTTAAGGTGTATTGGGCCAAAAAAATAAACAAATTTGCTAAACTAGACCACTCCCTGGGGCAGCAAGAAATTTCCTGATGCAAATTACCCTGATTTGCATAGGAAAATTTTCTGCTTCAATATTTGCTGGAAACCACTCATAACGGCCACCATCACTGTTTCCCTGTTTGGAAGACAATCACAGATTATAAAAAGAGAGAGAGAGTGTTTTCACAGAGAGGCAACCAGCGTGACTTTTAACCATTCTGTAGCTGACAGGATTTCAGTGGGTAGAATCCTGTATTTTAAGATGCATCTGCCAAAATTACTCCTGATTTTTTTATATATAATCTGGTGACCCTAAGAAGAGAAGACAGCCACTCTCTCACACACTAAAATTAGCTTGAGGGGCTGTCAGGCTAACCCCCAGAACAGTGCACAGGGCAAGGGGGGAGGTTATTCCATCTGGAAATACAAAATGTTTGCACTGGTGGAATGATCAGGAGAGTGTGGTGTTGAATTCCTCCCATTAAATGCAACCCTGTGTCTGTTCATACCTACGTATTAGCTATTTGTGGTGTGTGGCGAGGTTATTTAACTTTGGGTTCATTCTGGAAAAGAGGAACTTTTGAAATTGATCATACTAATAGCAATTACATAGATCAGGGGTCAACAAACTTTTCAGCAGGTGACCAGTCCACTGTCCCGCAGACCTTGGGGGGGGGGCTGGACTGTATTTTGAGGGGGGGGGAAATGAACGAATTCCTATGCCCCACAAATAACCCAGAGATGCATTTTAAATAAAATCACACATTCTACTCATGTAAAAACATGCTGATGCCTGGAGCGTCCGCGGGCCGGATTTAGAAGGCGATTGGGCCAGATCCGGCCCCCGGGCCTTAGTTTGCCTACCCATGAGATAGATTTTATCGGGCAGCCAGTTTTTCAAAGGATGTAGAGTTTATTACGAAAGGCTGGCAAGCTTTGCCAAAATGAGCAAGACACTTACTACACAGATTAGCATCTCCATTCTCTCGTTTTTGATGAAGGTGAGACCGGTTTTGCTCAGGTTCCTGACATACATAAATGGTCATCTTGGGCCTTACGTTCCTACAGGCAAAACAATATTCTTTTCAGTATTGGCAATGTAAGAGGACACAACACTTCCAGCTGGGCAAGGTGCTGCTCTGCACATGAAATTGGATAACTGTGTAGAGACCCAATTGTGATGCAAAGCCTAGAACAGGGGTGTGCAGAAGGTAGACTGGAATCTACTGGTAAATCAGCATGGATTCCTTTCTCCCAATTGCTCAGCAATAGAACAGTCTGCTACCATCACCAAATGATATTGCTGGAATGAAAAAAGCTGGGAATATTCAAAAGTATTCTTGGGGTGGAGGCGGCTATGGAATGATAGTGAACTCAGTTCATTTCTGGTATTCAGAACAAATTCCTGAGCTCAGAAATGTTAAGTGTATGTCTTCTGGATCAGATTCTAGCTGGGAGATCCTGAGGTTTAGTAAAATACCAAGTGGACCCCACAAGCCTGAAGCCTGCCTTCACCTGGGCTAGAGTGTCAAGACTGACTGGGAAGACTCGAGTTCAAATCTTTGTTCAGCCACAAAGCTTACTGAGTGACCCCTCACTCTCTCTCAGCTGATCAGTGTACCATCCCAAGATGCAGTCAATTTTTATTACTTACTATGTATGTTTACAGGGACACATATGCTTTTAAGGATCTCCCCACTGCACACAAAAAAACCCACAAATTCGAAAACGCAGTAACTTGTGCTGTAACAGAAAATGTGACAAACCTTCCTTTAATGGCGTTATAAAGTCGAATGCCATCAGCTGGGCCACAAATCTGAATAAGGTCATCTTTGGACATCTTCAATAAGTCGGCACCTGAACATTTCAAGCAAAAGTCATTTCCCCCCAATAACAAGCTTCTATACAGAATCAAATTTCACAGGCTTGTTAAGACAGGTGCTGGAGGAATACAAGTTCTGATTAGAAAAAGCCAATACTGCAAGCAGTCACTTGACAAAGATATTTTTGTGCAAATCTATTGCATGTGTGGGGAGAGGAGAGATCCAGAAGGAAGTAGTCATTGCCATGGGCAAAATCATGTTACTTCTGGTCTCAGACACAAAAACCTGCTTCCAGCAGCATGTGCAAATTGAGCTCATAGTGTAACTAAACACAGAAGCAAGGAATCTTTCACATTGTATAACTGACATCTCCTGGACCATCTAAAATGGCTGTCCAAGTACATGGTCCTCAGGCAAGGGTGAGGGTATGTGAAGGTCACTTCTGCACTTTTAAACCCTAAACTGAAGAAACCAAGGAAAGCCGACCAGAATTTGTGTTTTACAAATGATGCTGTGCATGAAAAAATGGATGTACTATTTACTGTGGGGAGCAGGGGAAGGAGAGACGCATCACGTCTCTCCTGCCCCAGATACAGAATGTTGCTTCTGAGTGTTGGGAATATGCAGAATTCCCACCAAAAGAGCATAATCTTCAGGAATGGTGCAGTGTGAAATCAGCGTGCATTTATTTCCCATTAGGACTATCCATACAGAAAGGCCAATGGTCCATATTACTTAAAGAATAGAGTTACCCCCTTGAAGGAACATTAGGAAGGATAAAGGCACACGGGCCATATTAACACACATACCTGAGAAACTTGAAAAGAGTCTACAGAATGGACTAAACCTATTTCGCTGAAGCCACTGCTGAGCATCTTGAATAGAAGCAGAGGGAAGGAGATGCTACATTGCAAAAAGAATAAGAGGGTCTTGAAATGAACTGTTCACCAGTGTCCTAAAAAAAGAAAAGCACCACATTAACATGATCTCAAATACTTACGTCATTGCTGGGAGGCAGGAGCTCCGCCTGGTGAGTTGGAGAACTGTTGCTAAAAATTGTACAGAATTGGGAAAGAAAAAAGGATTTTTTTTAACGTCTCTCCTCAACAGTGCTGGTTGTTGTCCCCCCCACCCCCACTTCTCTCCCTCTCTCCCACCACTCCTCAATCTTCCATCCAATTTAGTTAGATTGTCAAAAGTTCAAGCCTAGTTCTCTAAGGTTATTGGTTTCACCTCACCTAAAAATTTCATAGGGCTATACAAGACAAGAACTACGAATATGAATTCCCAGGTGGACTACAGTGGTACCTTGGGTTACAAACACTTTGGGTTACAGACTCTGCTAACCCGGAAGTAGTACCTCGGGTTAAGAATTTTACCTCATGATGCGAACAGAAATTGCATGGTGGCTGTGCAGCGACAGCGGGAGGCCCCATTAGCTAAAGTGGTACCTCAGGTTAAGAATGGTTTCAGGTTAAGAACGGACCTCCGGAATGAATTGAGTTTGTAACCAGAGGTACCACTGTATATGAATGAAACACGTTCCAAGTACAAGTTGCCTAATCAGGTGTTCAAAATAACAGCCCATGCAGAGATCTCCTGTTTGTTGTTTCCACTAAGAGAAGTCGAAATGTGTTTCGGTTTTGCTTTGTTTTTTAAAAGGAGGCTATTATGTTCTACTTGGAAAGACTGCCCCCCCCTTTAAAAAAAAAGTGATGCAACACAAATCCCTTGGATTCTACAGATTTGGAAAGTAGCTGCTATAGCAAGGATATCCAATATGTTCAAGGAAATTAGGAGGGGAGGGGAGTTTTATTTGAAGACTTAAAGAATTCTTTATTCTTGGCTAATTTAGGATTAAGGAGACCAGAGAGGTGCAATGGTCAAACTAAGATCGGGGAGATGCAAGTTCAAACCTTCATCCAATTACTGAGTACATTGGGAGTCCTTGAGCCAGTCACAATTTTTCAACCTAACCTATCTCCCAGGATTAACGAAAGGATAAAATGGGGAAGGAGAAGCAGAGAACCATGTATGCCACCTTGAACGTCTTGGAAAAATAACAGGATATAAATATTTATTTATTCTATTTATTTTTTAAGAAACCCACCTCCCCTACACCTGCCAACAGTAGGTATAAGTTTAAAAAGGAATCTCTTCTATTCCATCCATAGGAGTGGGAGAGATGGGACAGGACATTGCTCATTTCAAGATCTTTCCATTGTAGCTGGTTATTGCAACAACTCTGTAATTAAAACTAAGGCCTGAGCTTGTTTTTTCTCTCCTCCCTCCCAATCCCCTTTTCCTTTTGTTTTGTGCCTCTTAGGTTGCAAACCTGAGGGCAAGAACTGTCTCATCATTGACATTTATTGACATGAGTCATGCTGGGAACCTGCTTTGGCTGAAGAGTGGCATGAAAATGCTTTAAATAATTTAAATATGCAAGTACCTTTCAAGCGAGTGGGAGCAGTAAAAGAGCACAGCAGTATGTCTCGCAATCTCGGCAAATAATATTTAAGTTTGGGTTGAATTGCAGGCTCCAACATAACACTAAATGGGAAGTTAAAACTTCCTTATCTTTTACACACAGGGGTGTGTTTTTTTTCTTTTTATGAAACAAAAACATGAAACTGGGGCTCCAATGTCAGCTGAAAAGATAAAATATTTATCACGTACCCATCTCCAAGGCTGAAACTGTTTGGAGAGCTGTTGTAACTTGGAGACGGAGCGTTGTTCACTTGATAAGGCACATCTGGCCACGGGGAACACTGTTTAAACAAAACCAAATTAGGAACATTAAGAGCATGCTTCAAAGGAGAGTCAGAAACTCAAGTCCAATTCTCTTTCAAAACTACTTTTTATTGCACCTTCACTAGTGACAACTAATTGTACATCTTTATTAATTTTATAATGAATGATTTTAGAGTGTTGTTTGTGCTGTACTTTTGTACTGTTTTATTGTTGTTAGCCGCCCTGAGCCCGGCTTCGGCTGGGGAGGGCAGGATATAAATAAAATTTATTATTATTATTATTATTATTAGTGACAGTCTATCATCATCACCCCCCCAAAAAAACCACCCTTGATTCAAACATTTTTTCTTTTTCTATTTTGTTCTTTTTCTAGCAGAGGGTTACTAGAAGTCAGCAGCTCTGCATTGGAGCAAGGAGAGGGGCAGCGTGCCAGTGCTTTCTTCCTGGCAACAATATGCCAACCAGGACAGGGATGGGGCAGGGAAAGGTGGTACCAAGGCCAGGGGTACTTTGGGTTGGTGGCAAGAGACTAGCCTAACACCCTTCTTTCTGATATGCTAGCTTTGCACAAATTCGAAAGCATTCCAAAAGGTTCTACCCATTCAAGTACAAATAATCATAGTACTTGGTGTTAGCCCAGAAGTGGTGGTACAAAACAGTTAGTAACTTGGGAAAGTTACATCATGGAGAGTGGAGTGATAAATGAATGGAACCAATGCACTTCAGCAGAAAGAACTAGCATTTTGTACAAATATAGCACCAAATATGATCTGTCGTGATTCACTGTTGACAGCTCAAACTGTTGAATGATGTCAAAGGAATCAGCACACAGTATGGGTCTTACAGGAAAGATGGCACAAAGCTATCAAACCAAACAAACAAATGTTTTCCCTAGTGTTTTTTTCTTTGCTGGCGTACAATCAGAATTAAGTCTGTCTAAATAACCTGTTAAGAGCCCAGGAACCTTCTACACAATATGTCTTCTGTTTACAATGATAGTAAGGCAATCCATGACATTCCCTAGGATTTCTCTCCTCAGCAAATGCAAACAAACATTAGCAAATATTTAACTCTTTAGTAACAAGGGCCATATGATTTCCTGCTTCAAGGTGCTAAAGGCCATTCCTGTCAACAGCAGGTCACCTTAATCTGGCAGCTCCTTAGAAATAGGTCACTTTCTATGTAAAGGTCTCATGAACTGTGGGTCACATTATATTGCAGCTGACTAAAACATATACAAATAAAAAGGGTTTTGTGAATGAGAAGCAAATTTGTTTCTGCTCCTCTTTAAAACAAATAAGAAGGGGTGGGCTAAAGTTACTATTTAATCTGGTGTTGCAATGGCGTGAACTTTTAAGATGTCAAAATGCACTGAAGTCTAGCAAGCAAAATGGTACTTAACCTTCCTAGGAGACTCAGAGGAAGCTTATGTCATTGTTGAGCATACAGTTCGAAATTGCTACATTGACTGGCCATAGCTTGTTAGTACATCATGCACAAGACTAGACTGTTTTGTACAGCCTTGGCTTTGGTTGTGTGCGGCTGCTGCCATGCACAGAATCAGACTTTTATGCCACTACAAAGTCTCCTGGCCAGGATGCCAAAGTGTGCGGTTGCTTCCCAAGTACTTCTGAGCATCAATTATGTGATCAGACTACATGGTGCATTATTTCAATGAGAGTAATTAGACAGGTAAGGTAGGTAGATGAGAGGGAAAAGATACATCTATCTTTCCCTACCTCGCAGAATGGCACACAACAGTTTAAGTCCATTGCTGAATGCAAGAGGCTGAAAGTTCACAGAGCATACTGCAGAAACATCTCCTGCAGCAAGTTACAGAAGCAAAACACCCACCAGGGCAGTTTAGATAAATGGCCAGTTAAAACATGCAGGAGCACTGCCAGGATCAGCCTCAGGCTCACCCAAGTCTGCAACCATACAGATACAGTTCCACAGAAACTGGCACCAGCTAAAATACCCATTTTTTTCTTCCAGGTTTTTGTGGATATGGGCAGCAAGAAACTGAGCCACCCTGTATTGTTTTCATAAACAGATTAAGTGATTCATAATTGAGATTTTATTTATTTATTTTATGTTTCTATCTGAATGTGACCCATCCCAAGATCACTTACAATTAAGGGCAGGGCAGGACATAAATCTTACCCCAAAAATTGCACAAGCAGCTACATGGGGCTGCTCTGGCACCCATGATCATGGCAGCACTTAGAACTGGGGGAATTGCTGCAATCCTGCATGAGCTTGCTAGCTCACAGAGTCTTATCTCCATGTTGTAGCTTGTGTGCTCAGTCAAAGGTTATGAACTAGCCTCCTAAACATAATCTAAAAACAGTCCACTCTCAAAAATATCCTACCAAAGGGAGCCCCTACTACTGGAAGTATGTATCTCTTTTCAGACACAGATGTTGGTTCCAACCCATGAAGTGAAAGTCTCTTAACACTCTGCACTTGTTCTGATTCTTGTGTTCACTCCTGAAAACCTGGTGAGTTGAGCCTAAACAAATATGGATCCTCACATCTTTGGTAATCTCATGAACACTGCTAGCCTGTTGTGTCAAGATTTGAAAATACGAGACCTGAAAGCAACAAACCTACTTTCAGATCTTTTGTTGGACTATGACATAAGGGAAGGCTCATTAGATGTTTAAGGTTGTACTAGAAACATACACAGGCAAGGTTGAGTAACACTGGTTGAGTGTTTCTAATTTTGAAACAATCAATCACATATTTATTTATTTTTCTGAAAAGATAAATACTGCTCCTTACACTGCAAACTTCTAAACTTTGAGAGGGAAGCACTGTCTCACACCTGAGTACCATTTGGCATTGCAGCAACAGACCTACCATACCTCTGTCAGAATGGTTGTATCATAGGATGGCTGATATTTCTCCCTTTCTTGAGTAGTTTTCTTCTCCATTTTTTCTCTGTCTGTTTTCTGTTTCCTATCCGCTCCTTTAGGCTATAAAGCACACAGAATAAATAGTTTTAAGCCAACAGATAGTGCAGCTATTTCCCTTGATATCCAAACAAAAGTGACACTGAGATTTGTGTTATTTAATGAATGAACACATCCTATTCACATTGAGTAGTATTTGATCATTACGACCAACAGCCTAGTCTTTGTATTATTTATCTGTACTGTATTGTATTGTGCTCCCTTTAGAAAACTGAGTGTTTTAGCCTCATAACAAGACTGCAAGGCTGAAGAGCGATTTGCTCATGGTCACCAAGTGAATTTCATAACCAAGTGAAAACTGTTCTGAAAATCCCACAACCCTTGTACCTTAAAGACTTTGATCTGGCAGCTTGCAGAATGCAAGTGGTCTGTGTATTCGCCATTCTCATTCTGTTTGAAGGTGTCCATTTGTATCCGGAAGGGTACGCCTTTCTCTCCCCCATGTTTCCTCGGAGTAAATTCTGTACTAATACAATGCACCTAGTGAAAAAGGAATGGTTTGGCTTCAAGTTCCCAGAACAGAGCATTTGGTTTTATTATAAAGAAGAGCTGACAAGCCCCAAGTAGGACCAGTGCAGACTTCTAGCCTGTCCATTATCTGTGGACACACCATACCTTTAAGCCACATTTGAAGCAGATTCTCTCCTCCTACCTGCAAAGAATTCTGGACACTGTAGTTTATTAAAGGGGGCTGGAAATGGTGGGTCGGTGAGGGGTAACTTAGGGCCCCAGAATTCTTTGACAGAAAGAAGGCGTTTCAAAGGTATAATGCATAGGCTGCCATAATCAAGAGATCAGCAAAGGCCACAGTGCATGCTCACTCTCACCAGCTCCTTTCTATCAAACACAAATTTCCCCTTAACAACTTTCTTAAAAAAGAAAAGAAAAGAAAAAGCAATGTTGAGGATTACATTTGTACCAATGTTCTTACTCCAACAATCTTACAGTTTTTGCAAAATATATTAGTAATTTGGCAGTGCCAGCTGATTTTATTTACTTCTTTTTTCAGTTGATGGTGCTTATTTTCAAAAATGGTTTTTGCACCGGCTGCATGCAGATTGATGATAATAGTCTGGACAACTACTTTTCACCATTACAAGCAACATTGCCAGCCAGATGAAAAGTGATGGCTTATTGGACTGAACACATTCCTAATAAGTAATATCCAGAACTGCTACTGGGCAATGAAGTTAAGTAAAAGGATTTCTACACCCTGCTTGAACAACCATCAAAATATTGCTAGTTTGCTTTGGCCTAGCCAGCTGAGGTGGAAAGGTTTTGTTTTCACTTATTACTTTAAAAGGTTTGATCTTTCTCCCCTTAAGATATTGGATATGTTTCGTTATGGTATATTTGTATTATTCTTTCTACTTGTATTCCTATTATCTCTTCAAAATCTACTATCACTGTAGGCTTAAAAGAAAATTCAGTTATGTGAAATTGTTTTATTTGAATCTATGTAGCTGTCAGTAAAAAAAATTATTGTCTGCATTATATGAGAACAAGAAACCAAAGCCAGAGTGGAAATCTTCCATCCATTATGGTTTGAAATTCTCTATATATACACTCAATGAAATATGTGTCCCAGAAGATTTTAAAAGGAGAATGTGGTTGTTGTTGTTTTATAAAAGGAATAAAAAATAGAATGTTATTTCCTTACCTGAATGAATGCTGATGCTCTCTTAGAGGGATCCCACAAAAATTCTACTGTATTCAGCTGTGTGGGGCTGGCTCTGGGATCTAGGATGCCGACTGACAGTGGGATATCTGTAGAAGAAAACCCCTAAAATTTTAAAAAAATTAAAATTGAAGAGCAGAAACAACATTGCAATATAATCACCAGATGCATTCGAAAAGTCAGAAAGAAACATAACAAACTCCATTTTGCATAAGAATCAATCCCCCCCCCCCCATCTTGCTGTGACTGCAATTGTAATGTCATTTCTAAATAGTATTCTCATATTAAGAACCAAAATGGATGCTTAGGCATGATGTCATTTAAGATGGCTTTTTAACCACAGTGTTTTATGTTGTTGTAATTTTATTGATTGTGCAGTGTTCTGTTTTGGTTTTAAGTGTAAATTAGTTTTCAACAAAAAAAGTGGGGTATAAATATATTTACAATGCAAACAATGCAATACATACCTACATGCTGGGGGCAGTAGAAAAGATACTGTAAAAAAATATAGGATGCTCTGATTCCATGAGGAGGAGCATGACTTGATTTAAAGCTTGCAGTTTTACCACGTGAAAGTGCCTTGAAGAAAAATCTTGTAAATAACTTCACCTCAAAGGACAACATAATGAAAAGTTCTCACCTATGTCAAGGATGCGATCTCCTGGCCGACTCCACCTCCAGCCTTCGAGCTGCTGGTGCTCCGTGTACTGCAGACGGCGATCATGGAAAACCACACGAATGATGCTCTGTTGAGAGAGAAGAGGAGGGTTGAAGTTAATGAAGTGATTCAGGTACATCTTTTTTTAATGCAGACAAGCTCCACTTTTTTAATGCAGACAAGCAAGGTGATGTAGCTCTCTACAAAGGTCACCCATCACCATATACACCAAATAGACTAGGAAGAATAATGAGAAACTGAGAGATTTTTGTGTCTAAAAACAATCCTATAGATAACAACTTTGCTGCTACTATATCAGCCAGCTTGGCCAAATTAATTTCATGCTGTAATTGACACCTGGGGAATGTTTTTATCCTTCTGTTGAAAATACACCAGTGGCCAGTCACCAGGATCAAGCTGTAAATATGGCTGAAGGCATAGAGCATTTACTCTGTGGGGTACCAATGCCATTTGGCTAGACCTCACTTCCCATTTACAGAAGTCTTGTTTTGGTGACACTATCCAGGAAGGAGATTTGAAATATTTTGAACATACAACTTGAAAACCTAAAAACAAAAGGATTAGATTATTTCAAAGAAATGTAATAAAATTACAGATGCGTATGCTGGATGTTGAGGGGTGGGAACCCGAATCTAAACAAAAAACCAACAACAAAACAACCTGCTTTTGCAATATGCAGTACGAATATCAGATTTTGCAAATGGCCCCTTTCTTTAAAGCAAAGCCATTTCATGAGAACATTTGTTGAAGGGGGGGGGGAATTAGACACTAGAACATCTGTATCCAAATGAAGAACCCATGAAAGAATGGGTGTGAGACTCAAAACTATTCATCCAATGACCTATTTGCATTGATGATCTTCCCTCCTCCCACGTATCTCGGGATCCAGTTGCATTTTGTGAGCTGTGCCTATGACATGAAAGGTGGACCAGGATAAGAGATTCCTTATGTGGATTCTACAGTGGGATCTGTGACGCTTATTGCAGCTTACTTTGCGCAAGGTGGGACTCTACAATGTTTTGCTAAATGCTTGTTCACATGCTATATTCTTGAGCCCAAAGACTGGGTTTTTAAGTCAAGGAGAAATGTCAAGTTAGTAAACTCTTCATAAAAAGACTGGTTTAAGGCTGTGCTGTATTGACCCCCCTACTCACTACATCTATTGCCACATACAAGCAGGAAAGGAGTAAGCACTGGATGCTGCTGTCAAAGGCCACACCTTGTAGATAAGGATCATGAGTGGTGGCAGCAGCAGTGGTGAAAGGACAGATAGCTAAACACCCTTGACAAGTCATGTATTTACATGCAGAAAGTTATTAAATACCTTTTCCATTTCTCTTTAAATCAAACACAAGATAATACATCTCCCAAATAAGGGTCAAACTATATGTAGAGAGCGTACAGTTACATCTCTTGCTTTACTTTATCTGTGGAGAGGGAGAATTTTTATTGGGATTGCAACATGCAGGTGTGACTACCCCCAATCTTCCAGGGTGTCAATGGGCCCTTTCTCTCTCTCTCTCTCTCTCTCTCTCTCTCTCTCTCTCTCTCTTTACTAAGCCTTGTAGCTTTTGGGGAGGATATTTGGTGAGTTGCATCTAAGGACAGAAAGGATAAACCTTCCTTCTTGTTATGCTTCCCAACAACAATTTCCCTCCTTTCCATGGCTGGAATAAGAATTAAAGAAAAGCAAGATATGTAACTGTGGGAGTACAACATGTAGCATGTGAGCAAACATTAAGGGTCTATTCTGTATCCAAGACATGTGAATGGGAGGTTGGGGGAAGAGGTCTATATCAGTGGTTTCCAAGCTATGTACTCAGGAATGCCATGTGCCCTTAAATACTTATTGGGGCATTTTGCCAACAAAAAAAACCACACCATGATAATAGACATGATCCCCCAAGATACAATTTGTCCATTGTTGCCAATGTTTCTCTGCAATGTGAAGCTCTGAGGAATGTTGGACCCTGAAGTCAGCACTGAGGCCTAAAAGGCCAGGCCAGAAAAATGCTGTATACTAAAAAAATAAAATAACACCCTAGAATAGACCCCAGAACTCTTAAAAACACGTTGGGGATTGGTGAGGTAAATGTACTATTTGGTCTTTTATGAATAACAGATGTAAAAATTATTCAAAGAAGACAGGAAAAACAGAAATCCACTGGTATATACTGGGCTCTAGAAACCAAACTGCCAAGTCCTGCTTGAATCGAAAGGAATTCAGATCAGAAAGCCCACCCCACTCCACCCTTAAGTCCTGCCCTCTCCCTAGTCAGTCAATTCTCTTCCAATGGTATGACCATCTTATTAGAGTGTGCCTGTATGTAGCAGCAGGAAGAAAATCTCCTTACCTTTACATATTTTGTGTTTAAATCTTGAAACTCTCCCAATTTCCTATTCTCAAGTAGACGGATTTCATAAGACTGACCTAGGAGTTCAAGGAAACATTTCCAAGGTGTTTAAGCATGTTGCAGGTTAAGCATGTTGCAGCAAGAAGAGAAATAGACAGTTGCACTGGCATCAATCATGCTTGGTTGGGAAGGGTGATTTCTTTTTTCTTTTTGCAATATAGCAAGTTTCTCTCAGGAAATGGTCAGGCATTATTGTAACCTCTTAAGAGAGGAAGACTGAGCCCTTGGCCAGATTATCCATTTGGAAATTTAAAGAACACAGCGTCTTCAAATTCCTTGGCACTTTCTATAAACTTGTCATGTATGGGGGACCTAAAGCATATTTATGGTCTAATTAGCATGTCTGCTTCTGGCAGAAAGGCATCTTCAAGCAGTAGGTTCTGAACCACAGACCACTGGTGGTTTACAAGCCCACATGAAGTGTTCCATAACTGGTTTTGTGTTTGTTGGCTGGCATCTCCTTTTAGCATCGGGATGCACTGTGGAAAAGAGTGCTGTCACAGTCTTGACTGAATATCTAAGCTCTGGATCTTTCCCTCTGGTTGTTTGTGAACAGCTGTATAGACAGGCAGCTTCTGCTGCTGCTCTCAGTCTACAATCCTAAACAAACTAACATAGCATCTATGAACGCAGAGGGACTTCTGAGTAAACACACAGTTACATGGTGCCCCAATCTGAGTAGTGAGAGATTCCAGGGGTTTCAGGCGCTTACCCAGGGTTCGTGTTTCCTTTGGAAATGAGGCAGACTCTGGTGATTTTAGGATATATGGTTTATTTATACATATAGATAACCTGAGCCTACGATGAAAGCATTCACAGCATTAACACCCCAAAAGGGTTTTGCTTCTGCTATAGCCACAGCAGCTTTGGATTCAAACAGATGCCAGCCATGGCCCTCTTTCTCAGCTTCCAGCTTGCTGCGTTTAACAGACTGCAACCCTAAAAAAATGCTCTCCTTCAAACTCTGGCCTTGGTCCTGCTAACTAACAGAGCTAGAGGAGGGGCCACTCCCAAGGGCCATCTGACAGAGTCCCCTCTCTCTAGCCTTCCAAAAGGCCCATTGCCTTCCCTTCGTTGTTGGTTAAGGGCTGATCTCCCAAGTGATTTCCTGAACATGGGAAGCTGGCCTGGCCTGCATTTTAACATTTTACTGAATCCAGTGTCTGGCAGCCAATTTCAACACTCCCAAGCACTGAGTAAATTCTAACACTTATTAGACTCAGAAATTTAGGGGAATCTGCCCCACACAAACTGTGGCTCCCACAACTCATAACACAATACATTGTCAACTGCACTGTCAGCATCCTTAGCAACCAGGAAATTAACTGCTGATTGCTCAGAACAAATGATGCCCACCAAGAACCAAGGCAGCATCCTAAATAATTGGCCTAATACAATGGATGCACAAAGCCTTAGAAATATATGTTCTTTACAGAACTGATGGTGGAATTGGGTCTACCTCCTGTTCCCTCAGCAGCCAAGTTTATTTACTAACTCCCATAGGATCCCAACTCATAGATTGACAGGCTGGCTTCTTAAAATCACTCCCAATAAGCACAGTCTTTTAACATACAAGTTTTCAATAAGAACATCTGAGGCTTTATTTCCAGATGTACAGATCTGTTCTGCTTTGGACTTGCTAAATGTTATTAGAAACACAGCTGTGTCTGCTCAGTAGACTTATCAATATGAGGCAAATGGTCTAGTCATCAACTTTCAACACAAAGCTACTCTTTTTAGACTATTTATATGTTAAAACAGCCAACAACAATTAGCATACCTCTCTCTCTCTCTATATATATATATTAAAAATGGTAAAGGTAAAGGACACCTGGACAGTTAAGTCCAGTCAAAGGTGACGATGGGGTGCGGCACTCATCTCGCTTTCAGGCCAAGGGAGCCAGCATTTGTCCACAGGCAGCTTTCCGGGTCATGTGGCCAGCATTACTAAACTGCTTCTGAAGCAACGGAAAACCATGACAGAAGCCAGGACACAAGGAACTGCTAGGTTGGCAGGAGCTGGGACAGAGCAATGGGAGCTCACCCCGTCGCAGGGATTCGAACCGCCAACCTTCGAAAGCATGCCAGTGCATGTAGATAAATAGGTACCGCTGCGTCAGAAAGGTAAATGGCGTTTCTGTGCGCTCTGGTTTCTGTCACGGTGTTCTGTTGCACCACAAGCGGTTTAGTCATGCTGGCCACATGAGCTGGAAAGCTGTCTGTGGACAAACGCCGGCTCCCTCAGCCTGAAAGCGAGATGAGCGCCGCAACCCCACAGTCACCTTTGGCTGGACTTAAACCGTCCAGGGGTCCTTTACACCCACCCACCCCTGATTGGTGATATAATTTAGTTCTGAATGCAAAAAAATCATTGTTTAGTAAACACATATCAGGAACAAGAGCAAAATGATAAATACAATAAAATCAGGGAGCAGAGCCACAGGAGCTGGTTTTTCAAGTTCCTCCTGCAGTCACCTCCCAACCTTGCACAAGAATGCAGATCAATGTGTAACAAGACAATCTAAAATGGTGATCAGTTTTAAGTTCTGGTTTGACCAGTGGCGGGGTTGACTCTCCAAAGTAAAATGAAATGGCCGGTATATCTCCCTCCTGCAGAGAAAAGAAGAATGCTACTTTTCTGGAACTCACTCCAGGGGCAATATTTATTCTGATAGCCTTAAAGTTCTACAAAGGATTGCAACCATGGAAATTATGACATTAGCTGTGGCTGGACAAGCAGCTCAGGAATAAAATGGAACTTTGTGCAAAAAAGAGAGGCGGGGGCGGGAATGTAGTAATTTGCAAGCAGCAGGAAACTGTAATTTAGTCTCATGATTGGCCCTACTATTAGGCAATCATATTTTTACCAACATGGGGAGAGGAAGAGAAGAACAGCACCATTTGGTTTTTCAAATACTACATGACATATCTTCTTGGATCTGCAGTATTATTAGTGCTGGTCATGGCCTGGTCTGAAGGCACATAACACCTTCTAAAGTTAAGTAGCTCTGGTTGCAATCAGTGTTTCAATGGCAAACTACCTGGGAAACTCATATATGCCATCTCAAATTCCAGGATGGAAAGGCAGGATAAAAATGTTCTAAATTTAAAAATATTGAATAGAAGGATTTCATTTGTGGATATGCTTAGTAACAGTGAGTGTGTGTGTGTTGGGCGTAAACTTCCTTCTAACCAGTACCAGCCTAAGTCAAGGGTCTCCAACCCTGCACCCACAAAGGCCTTCTTTGGTGTCCCTGAGATGAGCCATAAACCACAGATTCTCGGCTTTCATTTTTTAAAAGAAGTTTCTAGCATTTTTTAGAACCTGAGATGTGAGGCAAAATGTACAGATTCCATTCTTCTTTTTTAAAAAAGTGAGAAATTAGCCTGCCCCACCCTTTCAGTGTTTTACTTTACCCCTTCCCTCCCCCCCTCCCCCGGGGAATATTCCTGCAGATGCCTGTTTGTGAGAGAGGTAAAGATACATTTAAGAGAGAGAAGGAAAGATGGCCATGTGATGTGTGTGTTTGCAGAGGGGGAGAAGTGGGAGATTATGTATGTATGTATGTATGGTCTGTAAGAGGGAGAAGGGTGTGAGTCAGAGACAGAGATATCCATGTGTGTCTGTGACCTGTGGTCAATATGCGTGAGACTGTGTGTGTGTGTGTGTGTGTGTGTGTGTGTGTGTGTGAGAGAGAGAGAGAGAGAGAGAGAGAGAGGGAGGGAGAGGGAGAGGGAGAGATCATGTGTGATCTCCACAATCAGGACCACCAGGACATAGCTAACTTCCTTTAATTGAGATTGAGGTGGGGAAACAATTACTGTAGGGAAACAGCAACGATGGAACTCTCTAATTTTGTGTTATGCCTCCACAGCAGCCATTTTGTGTTTGGTGCCCACAACACTTTACCAAAGTTCAAAATGTGACTGCTGATCCAAAAAGGTTGGCAACCCCTGTCCTATGAGATACTTGTGAATCAGTGGAAAAGACATGACCATCCAGTGGGCAATCCTTTGACAAATTATAGGCGGTTACCCAATTGAAATTTTAACACAGAAAGAACTGTGGCAACAAAGGAAGACCTCACTGAGGCACAGAATACAATTTGCTGTCACCTATCCCCATTAGAAGGGACCGCGGGTGGCGCTGTGGGTTAAACCACAGTGCCTAGGACTTGCTGATCGAAAGGTCGGCGGTTCGAATCCCCGCGCGTCGGGGTGAGCGCCTGTTGTTCGGTCCCAGCTCCTGCCAACCTAGCAGTTCGAAAGCACCCCAAAGTGCAAGTAGATAAATAGGGACCGCTCTCCAGCGGGAAGGTAAACAGCGTTTCCGTGTGCTGCGCTGGTGTTGGCTCGCCAGCTGCAGCTTAGTCACGCTGGCCACGTCTTCGGACAAGCGCCGGCTCCCGGCCTCTTGAGCGAGATGAGCGCGCAACCCCAGAGTCGGTCACGACTGGACCTGTTGGTCAGGGGTACCTTTACCTTTATCCCCATTAGACAAGGTAGTCCCATTACAGCTTTGTTAAAAGAACATCTTATGTACATTTGTAGCTTAAAAGGTGTCACCTCTAAAACTGGCCAGTGTATTTTTAGACTCAACTACCAATCTCAGTTTACCTTTCCGCTGCAACTAAGGAGTGTCAAAGGACAGGTTAAATAGACCTGATGAAGTGATAATCAAGGGAAAGCATGTTAGATCTAGAAGCTAAACTGGTCTCTTATCTATGAAAAGACTCCCTTGATGTGACCAATGCGCATTAACTGAATCAACCCAGCAATGAAATGTTACATTCCTCTTTTAATTCAGCTACACAGTGTTTCTGTGTATGGGCTTGGGGCCAATATGACAGTTAACGATGTTTCATTCTTAATACTTTGGCAGCTTGAGGCACTGCATTCTTGCAAGCAATACTTTTATTCACTACATTATTAGAGGCTAAAAAAATATGACATAAAGAACCTTGTACCTACAAAAGACATACAACAGGAATGGAGTAAGTGATAGTAAAACGATAAAATGAGTATTACATTTTACAGCATGCCAATGCCTACAGGATGTAGTCACTGAGATAACCGCAAAGTTAAAGAGTTTAATCAGGCTACCATTAGTGGCTTACTACTCAGAGGGTGAACCTGCACTGAGGGTCATTGAGAACAACCACCATTCTGCTTTCAGCCATCTGTATCTGTATCTGTATCTGTATATCTGTATATCTATCTATCTCTCTATCTATACGCTTTCAAACTGCTAGGCTGGCAAGAGTTTGTTAAGGGTGCTGAGAGTTGTTATAAGACCCCTATTCCCCTCACAAAGCTATTGTTCTTAGAGCAGCTATGCAAAGAGCTCTGAAAATTGTAGCATTAAACTGCTTTAAATGTACAGTGCAGACTGGGCCAAAGTTTGGAAGTCAGCAAACTAAACATTTATGTGTTCCCATGACTATTTGGTAGTCCAAGAAAGCAAGTATAATTAACTCCCTTCTCACGAGATCTAGACATAATAAAGATGGCGAGGCACTACATTTTTAACTAGCCACTACGGAGTATGTTCTTCTACCTATACACAAGGATGGGATCCTGTGGCCCTCTGGATGTTGCTGGACTCCAGATTCCATTAGTTCCAGCCAGTATGACTAATTATCAAAGATGGCAGAAACAGCTGGAGGGATTCCCCATTGCTGTCTGAGCAAAAGCCACTACAGGGTACATTCAGAAAAGCACAGAATTAAACATGAACATTCATTTATAGTGTTGCCCATCTCAACATATATTGTTTGATTTTAAATATTTATACTAAATCTTTTAGGACTAGGACAAGATCAGAGGAGGACACCCCTGAAGCAACAGGCATTTACATAATACTTCTAAGAAAGCTGAGTATAATGTATACAGTGCTGCTCCACAATAAAAGAAAGGTAGTAAAAACAAGCCAGGTTCACAATGTTCCTGGGCTGTATGATGCACAGCAACTCCACCTGTCTTTAGAAGGTGGTTTATGGGCTCTTTGTATTTAATAAGACTATTTTCCTCCTGCAATTTAAGCCATATAAATGTAACAGCACTGCATTTAGGACAAAAGAGATGCCTGCCTGCCAACAGTTTGGGCGGGGGGGTGACAGAAGGGTAACAAATCAAATATTTGAAAGATCTGTCCTTCTGATTAAAGCGTCTGTCTTTTACATTTTTGCTCATGGCAAGCATGCTTCTGCCCTCTGGCAAATGTGCTGAGCCTCAGCCTTCCTCTCAATCTTAGAACTTGCAGAGATGGGCTGGGATTGTCCTAATAGTTGCACAGCAGCCCCTTACCCCTCCTCTCAACCTCAAGAGCTGGAGGTAGTTCAAGAGCTGCTATGTGGTCAGGTGGCAACCAGCACATCTTGAATATGCAGAGGCCAAACCAAGACAAACATCATTTCCAGATCCAAGCTGGTAAGGGGGAGCAGGGAGCTCACACTGCAGTGACATGAGGAGGTGGCCAGGGTTCCTAGCAATCATAATTTTTTCCTTGGTTGCCAAAGTTGGCCAACATTTGTTGCTTCTCTGGCTCTTTGCAGTAAGGAAGGGTGAATTAGTGAATTGTACTATTCAAAAGGGCTCTTTAGAAGTCTATTTCTGCTCAGGGGAACCAAACTGTATGTTCTACTCCCACACTATTTTGCACTGTTTGCTGCTTTTTCTCTCTGAAATGCTTGAAACCAGTTATTTTCACTTAGAAAAGAGCAACCATTCTAGTCCCATCTCCATCACTCCTTTGTGTTCAAACACCTTGCATAGCTGAGGTATTGCACTTACGATGGCACCCACCCGTTTATCCTTCCTAGGATCCAAACTATTACCCTATGATTAGGAATCCAATCATTATTTGTGGTTGTCTAGACCCTCTACCAGGTCATCTGATATACGCATGAAGGACTTGCGGGGAAAGGGAAGTTGTCTTGCATTCTTTCTAGCACAGCCTGCACAGATTCATGTCTGCTGAGAATACTGTATGCTGATTGCATCTGAAGCATCTTGTCCCTTTCTAGAGGAAAACAGAGGGATGCAGCTATATCTGTAAAGGGTACACTAGGGCCCACGGGCTTCAGTGGGGCTGGGTTTCCATTGCTGTGTTAATATGGGGATTTGCTGGATTTTGTTTTTTTAAAAAGATCCAGTATGATTAAATGGGTCCTCTTGAAATGGCATGACTTTTATCCCTTCAGTTGCCACCAATTACATCTGCCTCCACAGAATCCTCAGACTCAGCGTCTTCACTACTGCTATGGTAAAAACAAGGCAACCACAGATCTTTATGAATCCTCATGAGTTTTACAAGGGATCCCCCAAAAGTCACCATCATAGGTAAGCTCTGTTTCCACAGATGTAAGAAAGGGATGGAGGGTTTTTGGTATCTTATGCTGCTCTAGATCCATTATTTTTATAGTTTAGTCCAGGGCTGTCCAGTTTATATAGTTTAGTCCAGATCAATCGCGATCTACCAGTTGATCACGGGATGCCCCTGGTTGATGTCAGGATCCTCCCCCTATAACTAAATACCTAGAACTAAAAGGTAACCACGCTTGCTACGTTGTGTTGTGAGGAAATGGAATCACTGGCCAAACAAAACTTATGGGTTCTCAAATTTAAAGTCTTCCTAGATCAAGAAACTAAGAATGCAATAGGGAGCCTTTAGCAAAATTAAAAATACAAACACCATAGCAGCAGCTCTTTTAAAGTAATGCATTATTTAAGATACCAATTGTGTAACATTCCTAATGAAGAACATTTACTTGAGCAATCACCATAGCACTTAGTAGCCACTGTCTGTCTTTCCCATCACCATGTCTCCTACACATAATCACATCTCATCATGGAACATATCCCATTCCAGAACAGGACTTTAAATCACTTCATCAGTAGTAATTAGAACTACTTTTGGAAGCATACAGTGAACTGTGTTCAAAAACAAAACTTTTTTAAAAAAACACATTACAGAGAAAACTGCACAATAAGGATACAGGAACTGATTATACAAGAAGGCACAATCCCCCCCCCCCCCCGGTGCTTTGTTGCAGGTCCATTTCTGAAATTATATGAAGCTTGGAAAGCTGTATATTCTCTGACCACATTGTGTGCTCTGAGATAAGTTATTACTTTTCCTGCTGATATAGAGCTGGAGGTGTAGGATAAAATAACTAAGGTCATGCACTTAAAAAAAAAATGATTTAAAGAGAATTTTTTTGATACCAAGTACTGTAAGCTTCCTGCATGCACAAAACCCAGAGCAACACTGGCTCACAACTTAGGTATACCTATTCACCACATTATTCCCATTTTTTGCAACTACATTTTCTAAAATATCTGCAATTCAGATAGACCTTATTAAAATGAAAAAAGAAAATTGAAATGCTTTAGGTAGGACTAATTCATACATTACTGGAGCAGCCTCCGAGCTGCTTCCTTGTGGTTACATCTAATGCTAATCTAGTAACATCTGTCAAGAGGAAACATTGAGAGTTGGACAAAATGACAGAGGGACACAAAGTGGTGTGGGAAGGATCCATATCACTCATTGAACCCATAAAATTCCTTTCTGCAGAGACTTGCCAAGGTGGCTGATCATGGGAAAGTGGCTCCCATGTCAACACAGTAACACATGACAGGCCTGTGCCATTGGTGTGAGACGGGTAGGAATGAAGAGAACCAACTCACAACACACACAACTTCATTATTCCTTCAAACATTAAAAAAACCACCCAAAGCAAAACCCTGACCAACTAGAAATAAGTATCTGTGTAATGACAGTGCCCACCTCATTTGCAGGGTAGATAAAGGGAGAATAATGGTGAGTGCTGCAGCAGATCTTGGAAGAGGTTACTCCCTGTTGCCCTTCTAAGCCAATATTTTCACCACTCAGCAATGAGCTGGTCTTCAATCTTACTGGAGCAGACCACTAAGGTGTTACCAGAAGTCAAGTACCACATTTCAAAGGACAACAAAGAAGAACTGCTCATCAGAACCATATATACTTTGTTGGCTATATGTCAACTCTCAGCTTCACAGAAATATTAATCTGGTGTTTAAAGACCTGACCTCTACACTTCTATTCCATTCTCTTTCATGTAATGTTCTCTGAGCTTGCTGCATGCACTGACCAGAGTGTCACACATGTTGTTTTGGCAACTGTCAGGCCAAAAAGAACTGAAGAATTGCTGTATTTAGTCTGGCAAATTCTGGAGTGCAATTTTCTATTTAATTGTGTTAGTCTTACCTTGGTTTAGATAAGTCAGTGTCTCCTCATGAAGCTTCACAGCAGGGGATGTGGCCGCACAGAGCACATACTGAAATGGAGGGAGTTTTGTGTCATTCTCAGGGGAGAGTTGAGGCTCTTCCTGTTTAAAGATTGGGAGTGCGAGGACATCACTGAAACAACACAATGCATACCCAATTAGCAACACTGCATTACAACTCTGATCATACAGAAGTACTGGCGCAATAACAAAGGTTGAAGGCAGGATCTGTAGGACCCATATCCCACAAGCAAACATTGTTTTTACCAGAAAGCCAATACGACAAATTCATTAATGAAACATTTGCAATATGTGCAGATATAGTTAAGCGGTGTAAGAGTAGAAAAGCCTACTCCAACAAAACCATTCTGGCTTCACTTACTTACACCACCAATGTTCACCCATAAATACACATTCCTGCCATTATTCCTACAACATGCAATGTAGCAAATATGTTGGAAAGCACTGAGGGCTAACACACACACACACACACACACACAGAGAGAGAGAGAGAGAGAGAGAGAGAGAGAGAGAGAGAGAGAGCACATTGTGAAAGGAAGATGCCAACACATCTGAGTTGGATTTTTACAGTGTAGCATTTACTCTTAAAAGAGAAGGATTAAGATTTTGCTGGGAAATGGTCTTGAGCAGGCATAGGCAAACTTGGCCTTCCAGATGTTTTGAGACTACAACTCCCATCATCCCTGACCACGGGTCCTGTTAGCTAGGGATGATGGGAGTTGTAGTCCCAAAACATCTGGAGGACCAAGTTTGCCTATGCCTGGTCTTGAGCTAAATAATGAGGCACTCTTTCTGAAAACCAAACAGTTGAATCCAAGGACAAGTAAACAAGACAAGAAATTCAGTTCCTGCAACCTTCCTTGTACCTAACAGCTCCCATGTAGCACTATGAAATGCCTCCTCTCAGTTTAATGTCCCTAAAAGTACCCCTTCAAAGAAATAATTTAGAACCTCAAACCAGCATCTGTTTCCAACCCACAACAGTTCAATCAACATCTCCCTCACCAGAAATTGCACATAAATAGGTGTGTAAGAGGCCCCCCCCCGGAACACCAATATGTCAGGTTTACCATGCAAAGTAGGCATTTCTTCAGTGTTGGGCAATGAGTTTAATCAAGACTAAGCAATGGACATTGTGTGAAGATAGCAATCTGGATTCCTATCAGATTGCTGCACTGTATACTTATCACATTAAATGGACCTCAAAATACTTGTTTCTCAACGAGAACATTTTGCTTATATAGTTGGCAGCTGAAGACATGAGCTGCTGGTCATATTTTCAAGATCTAATGATCAGCCCAATTAAAGAAGTGCTTAGAAGACAGCTGAAAATAACTACATTTATTCTACATTAGAAAGACAGATCTCTTAAGATTTTGCTTTGTGATGCAAGAAATGGGTTTTCAAAGGGGAAGAACTAAAGAGAGACTGGAATTAGAAGGGTTAGTAAGGTAAAGGATGCCTGGATGGTTAAGTCCAGTCAAAGGCATCTATGGGGTGTGGTGCTCATCTTGCTTTTCAGGCCGAGGGAGCCGGCATTTGTCCACAGACAGCTTTCTGAGTCACGTGGCCAGCATGACTAAACTGCTACTGGCACATGGAGGACTGTGACGAGTGCCAGAGCACATGGAAATGCTGTTTATCTTCCCACCACAGCGGTAACTATTTATCTACTTGCACTGGTATGCTTTTGAACTGCTAGGTTGGCAGAAGCTGGGGCAGAGCAGAGGGAGCACACCCCATTGCATGGATTCAGCGCCACCACTGAGCTTCTTGGGATTGCTGATCGGAAGGTTGGCAGTTCGAATCTGCCAATGGCATGAGCTCCTGTTGCTCTGTCCCAGCTTCTGCCAACCTAGAAGGGTTAGTACAATAGGCAAAGAGCTATACAGACAATTGGAGCCCCATCCTAAGCGGCAAAAGTATCAAGGTAGAAACAGAAACCCTTTCCATATACTACTCCAACAAAAAATGCTAGCCAAGGTAGTTACCTTAAGGCTATTCCCACTCAGAGAACAATGTGCAAAAACTTATACAAAGCACATACGAATTCCATACCCTATGCATTAGATAAATGGAGATGGGTGCACAACACTTCCCTGGGTGACATTTCCTCTTGTGGTAGATATTCACATTTATGCTATGTTTAGACTGCTGACTTGCGTCTATAAGTTTCTGAACATGTTAGGCCACATTCTAAGGCTGCTGAACTAGTCACAAGACTGAAAACCTATGCAAAAGTGTCATGAGTTCGCCTCTTTTAAAAGTGTATCATCAAGTAGTACATTAGTGCACTGTACATACAGCATAAGGTGCCTAGTTTTAACGAGATAGAAAAAATCTACTTCCAATCATTTTGCATCAGTACTTGGTTCAAGTCAAAACCAATGCCATTTTGTAACTGATTATATTACAATACCAATATCTGAGCTGAAAGAGTAGTAACATACTTCCCAGCTTCTCTAATCAAATCAAATTAGTTTTGTTCCCTTGGTCTGATCATTATGTTTTGGTTATCCAAAATATGCAGCACAATCTTCTTTATAAGTTAAAAGGAAATTGGAAAATGTTTACTGAATGTACGGGGGGGATGTGTACACTTGAAAATGCTGGCAGCATTAAGATAAATTCAACAGTATAAATAAGTTTTGATGGTTGTAATAATGGAATACTGAATGGTTTAGTTTATGTAAAATATGCATGGATTTATGGTTTGCAAAATGAACCATGTAAGGAGAAGAAGGGAAGTCACCGATACTGTAAGGATGTTTAAATGAGTATTTAAAATTGTAAAACAGAAAATCTAATTATATTCCAGGTTTTGGCAGCCACGCATGCGCAGAGTGCTAAATTGCACTTTGCGCATGCACAGAAGTGCCGAATTGCAATCCACGTGTGCACAGACATGGCGCTGTGGGTTGCGAAAGCTGCAGGTTGCGAACGTGCCTCCTGCACGGATCACGTTCACAAGCCGAGCGTCCACTGTATATATATGCGCAGCACAGATGCCCATCATTTTGGTCCAATGGTCATCATTAAACCTCTTGGCATTTCAGTTAGGGGACCAATTTTCATGAAATTTAATGCCAGGTATACCTATATGCATCAAGGCAAGGATGGGGAATCTGGCTTCTGAGCCCATTGAACAAAACATACTAATTTGGCAATATTTTGTGACAAAAAGTCCTTAACTGAGAGAAGTTGACATTTTATCTGATGGAGAAAAAAGGACACATCAACCATAGTGTTAAGCATGTGACTAAATTACTTATTCACTGCATTTAAGATGCTTTTCGTAACCTTGCACCCAAACAACATGTGATGCTCAGTCACATGTAGTTTCTTTCATTTTGCAAAAAACGTAGGCATGCGTGGAAGCTGTAATCTGCATGAAAAATGTTGTTTGTGGAGCAGGCCAAGGCAGTGGCACTTCTTACTTCCTCACCTCTACTGTGGTCTTCACACTAATGCCCTTCCCTGCCAGTTTAGAGAATGTGATTTTTGGCAGGAGGGGAAAAGTTATAGGTACTTTACACATCTAGTTGTAAAAAGTTGGTCCAGCATAGTGGCAACCTCAGTTCGAACCTCACTTTAATCATTAACTCAGTGAATGGCCTTAGGTAAACTACTATCTCTCAGAATCGGATCTGCTGTATGCAGGCAATATTGCTTCGACTCACAGGTTTACTACAAATAAGGTACTGAGAGGGTGTGGGAAATGCTTAGAACATCAGGGGAAGCGCTAAGCATTTAATGACAGATATTATTATTATCAAAACCTGAGCAGTAGTGAGTGTTATGAATACATTAGTGTTAACCAACCCCTCCTTTATTAAGCAAGGTAGTGAGCCAGTGCATACTTACTCAGAACCTTCTAAGTTCAACAGAACTCCCACTGTTCTAGGAGCATTTTCCGACAGGGAATTTCATTAGCACGAGCAGTTTCTAAGCTCTGGGCACAGTACTGTGCCTAAGATTTCAGATTAAAACTGCAGAGTGAAAGGAAAGGAGGTCCTTTTTCTGCCTCCCCAATTCCAGCTACCCTCTAAAGACTGGAGAAGAGACCCTCTTAAGAATATTAAGGGGTGGGCAGGGAAAGGACTAGATCACGTGAAAAATGAACTTATTTTAGCTGTAGTTCATTCATTTTCAGCTTTGTACTCTTGTTATTAAAAAAGCGTGCCTAGACATTCTGCTGTTGCGCCCATAAGCTGAGTTTAAGGTGCCGTTTAGCTCTGAGCTTTCAGATCTCAGTTTCTAATGCTGAGGGTGAATAAGACCTTTGCTTCAGTTAGGGAAGTGTCATGTGCTAGGATAGCCCTAACCTGCTGTCCTTCAGATGTTTCTGGACTCCAACTCCCTTCAACCCTGTCTGGCCATGCTGCTCAGAGTCCAACATCTGGCACCAGATTGGTTGCCCTTATGTTAGGGGCTCTGGCTTAACAGCAGCGTAGTGGGACAGAGCAGCAACAGAGCTCTCATTGAAAATACAAGAGCCATCTTCATTAACTCTGGGAAGTCATGAGCACTTTCCCTATTAGGGAAGCTAATGGAGATGGAGCACAGGTATTATATAACTAATATCTCCTGGGTAGGGACATTGAAAAATAATTAGAATGCTTTAAAGATGCACCCCAGAGGTATACCTACCTTACCACACAGCTCAGGGTTAAGCAGAGAAGGTTGGTCCACAACAATGGTTTTGCATCTCTTATAGCAAGGACTATTTACAGCATGCCAATTTATTTGTTTTAGAGCCACTTACATTTATTGCCTCACCCAATGCCACAGAATAGGCTTGTCATAGTTATGCAATTCAAAAGGCTCGCCATCTTAACATTGCAAGAAGGACAAAGCAAGGTTAACAAAAGGAGGAAAAGAAATCCTTAAAGAATACTGACCTACCCCTTCCAGAATTACTCCACCAAAATCTTTGCAGTTCAGTTCTACCAGCTGCCTAAATTTAGGCACGTCCACACCTAGTTGTGAAACTCTATAAAGTACTCATGCAGTGGTTCACTCTCTCATCAGCCTGACCTAGGAGAATCTCCCTTGTTTTATATTTTGCACTATTTGTTTGTTTTAGTATATTGAAATTGTAAAACACTTAGGTAAGAGGGGGGGAAATAGACAAATAGAACCGATCCAATAGAAAAAGCAACCTAACCTTCCATTTTACAAATTCAAAACAGGAGCAAAAAACCTCAAATATTTTGTCTGTTACAGGATGCACTGGATATGTTGCTCACTACTCTGAGTGAGAAAAATAGATAAACTGCTTCTGTAGCTGACTACATGGGCAGATATTTAGTACAGTGCTACTCAAAGTGTTGATCCACAAATTGGTCCTGTTCCGCGGGCGATGAGCTGCCAGTCCACAGTGACTCCACCACAGCTTCAGGGACCAAATATGGTACTGGTCCCTGGCACCTGGAGGTGGGCAATGCCAGTCCACCACATCAAATAATTTGAGAAACACTGGCTTAATATACAGGTGCTGGGTCCAGAATAAGGATTGAAGAGACAAAGTACTTTCATTCACACCAATAATAATCTCTGCTCCATACCACTGGTAAAATGATACACAATGTATTCAAGCAAACTCTTACATAATCAAGATTTGTTACTTTTAATAATAATAATAATAATAATAATAATAATACCTTTATTGTCAATGTACAATTTGTGTATAATGAAATTTTACTGCAGATTGTATGAGAAGCTAACTTATTGTTTCTACACTTTCCCTAATAAATAATCTTCCACACTTTCCCCCCTTTCCCACATTTTTTTTAACTAAGGAGATAGTAAAATAAAAGTTGCTTTTTTTCGTCCAATACAGTGGATGCTCGGGTTGCGAATGTGATCCGTGCGGGAGGCACGTTTGCAACCCGCATCATTCCCAACCTGCAGTGCCGTGTCTGCGCATGCGCACGCTGTGATTCGGCGCTTCTGCGAATGCGCAAAGAGCAATTTAGCACTTCTGCGCATGCGCCAAAACCCGGAAGTAACCTGTTCCGGTACTTCCGGGTTCGGCATGGTGCGCAACCCGAAAATACGCAACCTGAAGCGTCTGTAACCCGAGGTATGACTGTACAAAGAAACACCCTCTTGGTTGTAAAGAACACAAGCGTAGTCCTCTGTGCACCTATATACACCTTACAGAAAAGTTATTATCAATAGTAGCTTCTGATGCACAAAAAGAAAATGGCAAAAAGTTGCAAAAAGAAAAGTTGGTAACAGCTGTCGATATTGTTGTTATGGTACATGAATATAAATCAAGCCAACATTAACAGTTTCAGTTCAACCACATGTAGAAATTGATTGCAGAGTTTACCTTGCATTAACTGCCACTGAACCTGCTTGAATTTCAGTAGGAGGGGTGGTGGAGGTGGTGAGAGAGATGAAGTAAAAATATCCTCAAAAAACAGAGCATAAAGCAAGGTTAATGTTCTGTCACAAATCTGAAATAGGTAAGAGTTGCCCCGAGACACTTTTGTGCCTTTTAAAAAGTTGAAACAGAACTGTTTTACCAAGGGTAGAATTTGCTATCAAAGGGCAAAAGGATGGGGGAAGGTGCAGCTAGCAGCAGACAGGTGTCTTCTTCAGGGTTTGGGTACAAGAATGGTCCTGGGTGAGAGATCCCACAAAACAGCAACAGCAACATTACCCTTGAACAGTACTGAGACCAGGACAAGACTCAAGTCAACACATACACACATGTTCATACCATGGAACCAGCACCACACTGTGCCAGCGAAGGGTGTAGGAAGAACACAAGAGCCTGTACCAACAGCACATTCAAACCATTAGTGCATCATGTGTTGCTCTATATGGCTTGGCTTTTGCCTGCTTATTGGTGTCTAGACTGCCAAACAAGTTATAACATGGAAAACCGTTAGGCACGAAACCTAAGCGATTGCAATTTAAGTTTGCCATTTGCTCCTACACTCCATTTTTAAAACCAGCTAAATGCAAACTTTATGGCTTCAGTATCAAACCAGCTTTCTCTCCCCCTCACACCCCAATTTGTGTTCACCATCCAGTCTGATGCATTTGTCATCTTAAAAGCTTCTTCACAGTTTTCTGACATTTTTGTTGGTCCTACCAAAGGCATTGCTTGACTATGGATTTTGAAATAGCATTCTAGACACAGTTCAAAAGCACAGATAAAAATCACACTATTAAAATAAAAACACAACTGTACAAGTATAGCTTTCTGTTGGGAAGGGCTGGAATGTAGGTTTTCCATTTGCTATCTGTCAGGGGTATCTTTTACATTACCCACTGCCCCTTTTGCTAAATAAATAAAATGTGACTGATGTGGAAATAAGGCAGGAAAAAACTGGATTAAACAAGCCCAGTAAAGTGAATGAAAAGGATCTAGTCGTCATCATTCAAACGAGGGGAGGAGATAAGAATGAGAGAAAGCTGGTTTGGAAAGCTAGTGCCTCTATCTGCAAGACATTTGCCAGTGCTTGCAAGACACTTGCTCAGTTCTCAAATACCACTTTGCTAAATCTTCCCAGACCTGTTCATAGAGGGATTAATTTAAGGGATAGATCTATGGGCTCTACTCAAAAAAACCCCATGCCGTACTAAATTTGCTACTGTTTAAGGTGCTGTAAGGCTTGGTTACCCCATCGTTTAAGGATGGCTGGAAGTGCTAGTCTGTTCCAGCAATCAATCTCTTGTGATACCTTAAAGATGAACCATTTTATTATGCCATACATTGTCATGGACTAGAGTCCACTTCATCAAAACACATGAAGTGTTAGATAGTTCTTAACTGGCAAATTCAGTACAATTATATGACTGTAGAGTACTGTATGCACATATATAGAGTTGAAGAGGTGCATATGTATATACTTGCCACTCCAGGATTACACTTCATGCATCTGATGAAATGGACAGCAGTCCAGGAAAGCTTATGGCACAATAAAATTGTTAGTCTTTAAGATACCATAAGAATATTTGTTGCTTTTGTGGCAAACGATGTTGCAGTGGCTACTCTTCTAGAAATAGTTACAAAGCTTTTTGTTATACCACAGTTAACGGATTCACAGTCATGAACACCAAGTGTGATCCTTACTCTCTCATAAAATGCACTGGGAGAAAAAAGTCTGAGCAATCTATAAGTGCACAAACACAACGCAGGACTCTGTGTTAACTAACCCAAACTAAATAACTACCGGTACTTGGGCACCAGAGCTTCCACCTCACTCACAGCTGTGCAGCTTTTCAGTGACAAATTACTGGAAAGGCATTAAGAGGTAATCGGCATTAACTAACCTGGGCTAGAAGCTGCAGTCACCAGGCTCCTTTAAGTTTTCTGGAATTTCCACTTGTTCAAACCCACATCATACTTCCCCCCACTCCCCAAAAAAGTGGGAAATGTACAAACAAGTTCAAACCATTAAGAGAACCCACAGAGAGGGCAGCTCTCCCTAGCTATCACAGGCGAGCATGATAACCCACAGCTGCCTCACTCTCTCCTCCTGCTCCAGAGAATGGCGCCCATCCAGCTCCCTGAAACAGACTAGTCCATCTCAGCTGCCACTGCTCAGCAACCCATCCCTGACCACAAGATTCACACACACAGATGAGGTCTAAATGGAGTCCACTTTCACAAATCCACATCTTTCCGAGATGGTGCCTATCCTTGCCGGTGGCACAGCTACATAAAGATCCATTATTTTTACCAGAATCCTCATAACTTCAGAAACTGCACACGCACACCACACACGCACACCACACACGTGTCTTTTCCTCTCTCTCCCTCTCCTCAGAACCAAACACCTATTTAGATTAGGGTTACCAGACGTCCCCGTTTCCCGGAGACAGTCCCCGGATTTGCAAATCTGTCCCCGGGAAATGTGGCAGCAGCAGCCTCAGCAGCCCAGAGCCAGCCTGGTAGTGCAGTTGGCTCTGGCTGGCTTCAGGATCTGCCCGCTGCCATGGCGCCTGCCATTTTTCCTGTGCCATGGCAGCGAGCAGCTCCTGAAGCCAGCCAGAGCCAACTGCACTACCAGGCTGGCCCCTCCTGGGCAACAGCCGGCTGCCCGTGATTCCCAGGCCTCCCGTGATCTGTCAAAACAAAGGGGGAAGGAGATCAGGGAAGGTTCAGGAGTCACGGGCAGGCAGCGCGCCGTTGCCCAGTTTTTTAAAAAAATGCACATTTATGTTTCACAGGGTGTGAAAGAAGGGCTTTGCATGTGTGCTTCGGCCCAGGGTCTTTTGCCACACTATCCCCACTACAGTGGTACCTCGGGTTACATACGCTTCAGGTTACAGACTCCGCTAACCCAGTAATAGTGCTTCAGGTTAAGAACTTTGCTTCAGGATGATAAGAGAAATCATGTTCCAGCGGTGCAGCAGCAGCAGGAGGCCCCATTAGCTAAAGTGGTGCTTCAGGTTAAGAACAGTTTCAGGTTAAGAACGGACCTCTGGAACGAATTAAGTACTTAACCCGAGGTACCAACTGTACTGACTTCCTGTTGCTACCCGATTCATTGAAAAAAAATCTGGTAACAATAATTTAGATTGCCTATAATATTCCGCAACGCGTTGTCAACTGATGGTGTTGTGTAACTGAGCCCAGTCAACCACAACCTCTTAAAATCGTTCGCCCCCGAAATTAAACAAACAAACCCAAATTGGCTCCACTCATTCCTGCTCAGTATGCTTCTAGCTCTCTCTCTCTCTCTCTACAGCACCACGCCGCCTGGGTCCCGCTCCCCGTCCTTCCCGCATCCCTGACAGGGCAGACATGGACCCTCAAAGGCTGCAACCATATGCACGCTTTTCCTAGCAGCAAGCGCCGCTGAGCGCAGAGGGTCCTGCTTCTGAGCAAACACGCAAAAATAAGAGCGGCAGCTTGCGTTGTACGTCCCTAATGTGGAGCCCAGCAAGGAGACCCCTCGCTCCAGAGACCTTCCTTCTGCTCTGCAGCTTAACCAATAGCCCCAACCGCAAAGCCATTGCCCTGCTCCTGTCTGCCCGCATTTTAGCCGCAAGACAGTCCGTCGGTAAGTCAGTCGGTCGACGTCTCCCCGCCGCCCCGCTTGAGAACCTTGCGCCCTTTTCCCGCCTTACGGCCGCTCGCTCCCGGGCTCACTCACCGCAGGTAGCTGCCTGTCGAGTGCTGGTTGTAATGCTCCGGCTGCGTGTGCCAAAACAGCATCTTCTTCGACGGCTGCTGCTACCGCTGCTGCTAAGCTTCGCCCGCCCGGTAGCCCTAAACCCAAAATCCCCTACACGTCGAGGCGGGCTACGAACCCCGAAACCCGAAGCCAGCCCAAGACCAAACTGCGCGCACTCGGCAGCCGGCGCCTCTCCGCGCGCTTTTATTGAGCAGCCGCGTGATCCGCTGCTTGGCCGCTCCCAGGCGCTGAGGTCAGCCGCCGGCCTCTCCTCTCCGCCGCGCGCTCTCCCCGCCTCCCGCCGCCGCCGGCCCGCTCCCCGCCACTCCGGGCCGCGCGACTGGGCGCCAATCCCCAGTCGGCTGCTGTCCGCGGCGCAGGTGGAGAAGCCGAGGCGGAGCTACGGAAGTGGAGTTGGTTAAGATGACCTCACGGAAATGGAGGAGCCGCACAGACTGCCTTCTTCCGAGGTATAGAACTATTTATAAATAGTATATAACTATTTATCTTCGCCGCCGCCCCCCAGCCATCTTGCCTCACGAAGTCTACCCGGATGCTGAACTGGAAAATTTGCCACCCCACTGCTAAAGGCAGTGCTTTTTCTGTTGGTACGCAGGGGTACGCATACCCCTAAACATTTTGTGAATCTAAGTTTGGCCTCATTGAGGGGCGCTATTTCAGTATGAGTAGGAAAATGAGAGTACCCCCTAAACATTTTTTAAGAAAAAAAGCACTGGCTAAAGGTATTGCCTAAACTGTGGTTTTTTATAGCACTTCCCACCAAAGTAGTTTGTATACCACAGTTGCAGGGGGGGGACCTCAGGCATGGGGTGAATGTGGCCCTCAGAGACCCCCCCCCATGGCTCTTAAAACTCTTCGCAGGCCACAATCCACATCGGACCTGGTAAGTGCAATGCATCCTTGACTTCTGGTAATGCCTCTAGCAAAACACGCACTTGCGATTTGGCTGCAAACCCCAGACTGCCTCCCTCACCCCCACTGCACTGCTCGGTTGGGACCCATAAGCATTTGAGGGGAAGGGGATGCAGTTGCCTTGGCCTCGCACTTCCCCGTTTGGCAGCAGGCCCCACCCTACAAAGCGGAGGGGAGTCCAAACTCGGAAAAGGGAATGCTTATGGTATTTAGAGCCTGTCTTTGGGGCAAACTTAGAGGCGTGGATCTGTTTTGTAAAGTAGAAATGGAGCCTGATACTATGCTCAGCTGCGAGGCCATATTAGCGTACGCTGTGGGTTAAACCACAGAGCCTAGGACTTGCCGATCAGAAGGTCGGCGGTTTGAATCCCTGCGACGGGGTGAGCTCCCGTTGCTCGGTCCCAGCTCCTGCCAACCTAGCAGTTCGAAAGCACGTCAAAGTGCAAGTAGATAAATAGGTACTGCTCCAGCGGGAAGGTAAACAGTGTTTCTGTGCACTGCTCTGGTATGCCAGAAGTGGCTTAGTCATGCTGGCCACATGACCTGTACGCCAGCTCCCTCGGCCAATAAAGCGAGATGAGCGCCGCAACCCCAGAGTCGGCCACGACTGGACCTAATGGTCAGGGGTTCCTTTACCCTTTTTATACAGATATAGTTCAGTGGTACCTCGGGTTAAGTACTTAATTCGTTCTGGAGGTCTGTTCTTAACCTGAAACTGTTCTTAACCTGAAGCACCTAAAGCAAAGTTCTTAACCCGAGGTAATATTTCTGGGTTAGCGGAGTCTGTAACCTGAAGCATATGTAACCCGAGGTACCACTGTACATCTTTTTGGTTCTAGTGGGATCTCCAAAGTAGCTCACAAAACAGCAACAACACATCCATCCAAGAATAAAACCTTCAACTAAAACAAGCAGTCAGAATTCTAAAATGACAGCACAGAAAAATAAATCACTCTGGCAACCAGACATTATCAGAAGGGCACCTAAACAAGACCTTTTTTATATTGGAAAACTAATTATTTGACAAAAAAAAAAAAAACATTTTGACAAGGGAAGGCCATCCAGACTGGTTTTTACTGCAGTATGTTACACAAAAGGCTATATACATGAGTGACTTAAAACATAGCAAGGTTGTCCCCACCTACCCACCACTGGTTTCAAGTTACATATGTACATTGCTCTACACACCAGAAAGGGGACGGGGGTGTCCCCTCTCAGTTGGGTGTCACCTGCAAATTGGATGAGCCACCCCTCAATTTCGTCATCCAAGCCATTTATAAAGACATTGAACAACAATGGGCCCAGGACACAACCCTGCAGTACCCCACTTGTCACTTTGTTCCAGGATGATGAGGAACCATTAGTGAGCACTTTTTGGATTCAGTCAGTCAACCAGCTACTAAGCCACTGAACAGTAACCTCCTCCAGCCTGCATTTTACCAACTTCTCCACAAGAATATCATGGGGGACTTTGCCAAAAGCTTTACTGAAATCAAGATACACTATGTCCACAGCATTGCCCTTATCCACCAAACTTTTAACTTCAAAACAAAAGAAAAGAAACAAGATTCATCTGGCATGACGTGTTTTTGAGAAACCCATCCTGGGTCTTAGTAATCACAGCATCCTTTTCCAAGTGCTCACAGGCATGCTGTTTAATTATCTGTTCTAAGGCCTTTCCTAGTATTGACATCAAACTGACCAGTCAGTAGTTACCTGGTCTTATTTTATTTGAACAGAAGTAAACAATGTACCCAAATTTGGTCACTTACAATTACAGTTTTCCTTCTGTAAACATAAAGCACCCTAAAGAGAAACATCCCAAGAAAACAAAAATAAGCTTACAAATGGATTTATTTATTTTTACCCTGGGAATGTTAACATACCAGGGTTGGGGGTTGAAATGTGCCATGCAGTTTTTAAAGCAAATACCAATTCACAGAAGCAGGTAATTGCCCTTCTTCTGACACACACACATTTTGCAATCCCAAGGGCCAAGGCATATTTGAATTCAGCTTGGAGTAGAGAAATACCCCCTAAAACTGTCACTTTGAAAGTTTCTGTTTAAAAAAATTAATGAATTGGGGTAAAAAGAATTGTTCCGTGTGATTTTTCAAGGAAAGACTGATCCAGAGAAGCCAGAAGTGCACTTTTTCTTTCACAAAACACGTGGCTTTGTTTAGGACATTCTGCACCCCCAAGATGTGTTGGAAGTAAGCTTGTGGTAACTGCCTTTGTTCTCTCTCTCTCTCTCTCTCTGGTTTTCATAGATAAAGGATTATGACTGCAGATCCAAACAATCATGGTTTTTATCCAAAGTTATCTTGTCAAAAGCATATGCAATGGGTGTTTATTGTTATTTGTTTTAAATTGTTAGAGGCCGTGATATCTAATTTTCATTTGCTGCCTGCAAGCAAATGTTATCTTGATTTCAAATGTAAAGACAGTGATTCCTTGGGTTAAGAACTTAATTCGTTCTGGAGGTCCGTTCTTAACCTGAAACTGTTCTTAACCTGAGGTACCACTTTAGCTAATGGTGCCTCCTGCTGCCGCCACGCCATCGTGGTGCGATTTCTATTCTCATCCTGAAGTAAAGTTCTTAATCCAAGGTACTATTTCTGGGTTAGCGGAGTCTGTAACCTGAAGTGTCTGTAACCCGAGGTACCACTGTACAATGTTTACATTTTCAAGGCCTCAGTACTAGTTAGAGGAATTCGCACAACTCACAGAGAGGGGGGTGGGGATATTTAAGGAAAGAGAGACTACTCTTTTTGCCTTAAGCAGTTTGTTCCTCTGAAGATATCTATTAGAATATCTACAATTAGTGTTGGGCAGAAATGGAAAATTGCAGATTGGCGCATGACATGGAATGAAGGTTAAAACACTTGTTGGGCTATGTGCTCATAATGTGTTGAACTTGTCTGTTTGAACTCTTTACGCAGGAGATAGGGTATAACAAACTATATTTGTTATGGGGTCAACAACCCAACCCAAGAGAATCATTTTAGCTTGTGCCTTGGGGAGTCACAACTAAAGCCATATTCAGTTTTCTAACACATTTAGTGATTTCAAGCACCCTGGTCCTATGAAGGTTGACATGCAAGAAAGTCTGTAGGTAGAAATTATGAAGCGGGGTCCATTGTAATGCAAACATTACAATGCATTTTTATACCCTTGGATTATAAGATCTTTAGGTCAGTAAGAATTTCAGATAGATAGATAGATAGATAGATAGATAGATAGATAGATATAGACACACACACACAAACAGTTTTAAAATATTGCACCAGCCAGACCAGAATATGTGTGACTTACGAATTACGACGTCATACCAATTTCAATGTGCTTGCTCAGCTGAAGGGGCAGAGTAAAATCATAACTGTTTGCAAACTGTGGCACTCAGCTATAACACAGTTAGCTAAAAATTGTCCAGTAGCACCTTAGAGACCAATTAAGTATGTTCTGGGTACAGCCATACGTCGGGATAAATACGCTTCAAGGTAAGTATTTTCGGGTTGCGCTCTGTGGCGACCCGGAGGTAACGGAGTGCATTACATCCGGTTTTCGTCGCTCGTGCATGCGCAGACGGTCAAAATGAACGTCACGCACATGCGTGGAAGCAACAAAACGTGACCCGCAGACGCGCTGTCGCGTCTTACGTTCTGTTCAGGATCCGAACAGGGCTCCAGAACGGATCCCGTTCGCATCCCGACGTACCACTGTATAAGCTTTCATGTGCATGAAAACTTCTTCAGACACCAGTTAGCTCTGGTATCCAACTTAACCAGAAGCCAATTCATATAATCACTTTGGGGGGTTATATTCAGTTAGGTCCTATTTTGGTAGTTCTGCCAACATGTCTGAAAGTAGTCTTCAGTACAATTTAACATCACAAATCAGCTAAGCAGAGTATCACTCATTGACTTTGCATCCTCACATCAGCAGCCATGGAGCAGGGCATATTAATATCTCTTTATACTGCCCAAGGCAACTGAAGGTGACTTACAACAACAACAAAGGATAATCATGCCACTGAAGGCCATCATTTTCTCAAGGCAAAACACTAAACTATTCTGGGGTTTTCATATCTGCCATGGCACCCCAGCTGCACCTTGGCCCTTGTACTGTGAGGTGAAGGAAACAGATTTCCTGACCCAGACAGATTGTTCCTCTCTGTTTCCCTTCCCTTCCTGTGAATGTTC